GGCCACTGTTCTTCTTCTTTGAGTTAGCTGCTAACTGCTACTGCTGCTTTTTAAATCTCCCAGTGGTGGGATGCACAAGATTTTGTCCCATCCTGCTACCTCATAGATTCAGTGCTGTTACTACCTCCTCTGCTGGTTTATGCCACGTTCACACTACACAATATCAGTCTGATTAAAGCCCGACACGGTATCACACGGTGTTGGCTCGGATTGTGATTGTGTCGTATGCGATAATCTATGGTTTTATCTTGTGTAGTGTGTCATAGTAAATGACAACTGGCGCCACATCTGGGATGCCTCATGACATCCTGACATGTAGTCAAGCAAGCTTTCATTTCAGCAGTCCAGCGCAGGCATTGTGGACGCAAGCTGGCCAAGTTTTAAAGGCTGGTTTTGTAGCCTAATGTTTCTTTGCAAATGCATCACAAATAAAGAAGCCGTCAGAAGAGAGGCACATATTTTATATACAGCTAGGAGCTATAGACTGAGAGAAAAATGTTGAATTCAATGTGCTGCTCAAAGGCTACCGGCAACTTTTAAGTAACTTGTCATGTATGTTAATCAGTGCACGAGTTGACGCTGTAAATCTTTCAACACACCTCAAGTGCCCGTATGACAACTTTGTTTTTATTGTCTCTCTTGCATGACATACGTGATGATTGGATCTTTGAGCCCTTAAAAAAGTTTATGAATTTCAACCAAGTTAAGCGAAATATGAATATTCTATTTTCTCACATAGAGAAAAAAGTGGCAGAGCGTCATTCCTGTCGCTCTGGCAGCTCAGACATTGAAAAACTGCAGTTTTAGTTTTCTGGTTGGAGCTTTTTGACCTACGTTGTAACCGACAGACTGTGTTTTCACAAAGCATACACTTAACTGTGACTGACAGTTCAGTTTGCATACATGTGTACAACATGAGATTAAAACTGGCAGCGTAATGGGAGGAAAAGTGTTTTTCCTTCATTCATTCATGGCGACATGTTTTTACTATCCTGCACAGTGAAGTGTTCTCAGTATTAGGACGCAGAGCTAAAAAAAAAAAAAACACAGATGTTCAAAAATCTGGACACATTTTCATCACATATCAGCTCAATCTGTCCGTCTGTCTGTGATCAGCCGTGGAGATTTAGTACGAGCAGATCCTCTTTGTACTTCAGAGGCTGTGGATGGTTCTCATACCTGTTACTGCTGCAGGGTGGAGGAGCGAGCTAGGAGCAGAATGCAAAGTGTGCAAGTACATTTACTTAAATACTGTACTACAAATACAAATTTAATGCACATCTGTAGGACCCCGAACAATTAAATGAAGCCAAAGTCAACGAGACACAGCGACTTAATCTGCAAATGAGGATGAGCAGACGATGAAAGACATAAAGAGGTGTGAGTGGATTCCTGTGGTTGTCTGGTCGGTTGGAATGCTGAGGTATGTAGGTGTTTTTATCACCTGCACTTAATCTTCAGTGTTTTTTCTTCCACGTTCAAGGCCATTTAACTCTGAAACCATTTCACATAGAAAGAAAGCAGCCTCATCAGCGCAGTATATCTGTACTAACCAAGCACTGCCGGCTGACAGAGGTAACAGGAGAAAGGACTGCACACAGGAGACGTGGCTGACTCTCTGCACTCAATGCCACATGTAATTACTGCTGTCATTTCAGCCAAGACCATCGCAGCTCATTACTAATCAGTGAACAGCTATTAGTAAAAATCCCAGGCTGAGATGAAGATGAGATGAAGCTGCCAATCATTCTGTCACGAGCTGCAGACAGTCAGAGGCGTGAGGTCTGAGCAGGGTTACAAAACAGGTGTGTGTGAGTGTGTGTTCAGACCCACTAGAGAAACATAATCTGCCTTGTGTTGCACAGCAGGCACACTAAAGAAAGAGCTAGAAATTCCAAGTAGGGCAGAAAGAAAACACAGGACTTTCATCCGGGAGACTGCTGTTCATGTCCCATGTGAAACATTGAGTTTCTTTTAACTATGTTACACACTTGACGTCACATGACAACACTTAAGTTAAGTTACGTAACCGTAACGTACGTAATCTAAACCATGATCTTTTTTTGTTGCCTAAACAAGTTGAGGTGATGAAACCTGTGTTTTCTTTGAGCACAGAACTTTATTTAAAAAAAAAACAATGCACGTAACAAGCAGTTGTGGCACGCCGTCCCTGAGCGTCCAAAACTGACATTAGAGGGATACATAGAGTGTCATAGTTTGAAGCGACTGTCCGAGCTGCTGTATTTGACGAGTTAAGAGTAAAGACATGTTGTAAATATCTCCAGATATTAATTATCATGTCAGCATGGGAGGAAGCTGACACAGGGTTTCTCTGGCTTCCTCCCACAGTCCAAAGACACGCAGGTTAAGTGGTGACTTTAAATTGCCTGTAGGCGTAAATGGTTGTCTGTCTCTATCCATCAGCTCTGTGCTAATCAGGTGACCTGTCCAGGCTGTACCCCACCGTCTACCTATTGTCATTGTCAGCTGGGATACAATGAATAAGATAAGCAGTCACAGATATTGGACGGATGGAAAAAGACGAAACCGGCTGCAAACAATTATTTTTGTTTTGCTACCGGACTATAAAAAGTCAGAACATTGAAAGTTGACATTCAGTCAAGTCCAAACCCAAAGACTGCATATGTATTTAAGGGAGAATTGTGATAAATAATAGAAGGTGACATGTTAGAGAGGAAGATTATGTATTGTGCCGGATTAACTGAGGTCACCACAGTTTTCTGCCTCTGAAAAGGAGATGTAGACACAGTACAGTTGGGATTTACAGGAGCTACAAGAAAGATTGTAGAAGGAAAAGATACATGCATTAAATGTTGTCTTTTAAAACCTGATATTAGAAGCAGAAAATGAAGCAGTAAGGCTGTTGTTAATGGACAAAATATCTCATTACTGTAACTTGAATGTTAGTGGACAAATGTTTGTTTTCTTGAATTTAAACTTGACCATCAATGAACTTTAAAATCACTGCAGGCTTCACCTAAACTTTCCTTTCTTTGCGTTCACCTCAGTATTACCATCCATAGGAACAGTGTCTCCACCTCCACCTGCTCCATCTGTCCCTGTGTATGTCTTGTGTGTATTTAATGTGGCTTTGATTTGTTTCATACTTAATCTCCGAAACTTTATTTACCACAATGACTTCATCCCAGAGATTGTGGCTGTAAAACTGCAGCACCATTTTCTTAGTAAATCTAGTCCTGAGTATATTGAAGACAAGCAAGAAAACAACACATATTTATATCTTAGAAGCTGGACCTGATATATTTTTTGTAATTTTTGACTAGAAAATTACTTGAATGATTATCAAAATTGTTGCAGCACAATTTTCTAATAATTTAAGCTCCAACGATTTCTTTTTTCAAGGATCTAGAACCAGAGGAACCAAAATCATTTGTATTTCATCCAGGCAGACTGAGAGCAGTTTCTTTCTCAATGTGTGAAACCATTTTCCTCCTCTGATTTACATTTGAAACACTCTCCAATGCTGAATTTGAGTGTTTTGTAGTTTCACATAATACATTTTCGGGGAAATAGATCCTCTTAAAGTATACAGGAAAAGTTCCCCATCTCCTCTCACACCTCTGCATGCATGGAGCGTCCATCCTGCTTATGAAAACCTTTCCTGCGAGCCAGCTCACCAGGCTAAATAAGGCTGGGATGATCAGGAAGACTTTGAGAAAATAAAAGGTATTCTGTCCAAATTTAGAGAGGGAGATTAGAGAGTGGACGGACTCCTCTGTGCCAAGAAAGTGAAAGAAGAGGCTGTGAAGCACACTTACAGTACAAGCCCCAAAATATCCAAATCCAAGACCTTCAAACATTTACACAGCTTCCAGAGAAGTCCTTCTGTTGCACATTAAGAGAACGACCCTGTGAGAAATTCAAGTGTGAAACTGTAGAAACTGCCACAATGTCAAGTGTTCCATCACATTTTTCTATTGAACACAAAAAAATAATATTTGTGTGATACAGTGTCTCTGTGGTGAAATTTGAAGTGGTGAATCACACACCGAAGGACCTCTTATGTATATGTATTGATAACGCTGCAGAAAAGATGGAAATGTTCATTTCTTTAGCCTCAAAACTCTATTTAGATTCTCTGTGGTCAAGGACGCCTTAAATGATTTGTTTTTACAGAGTTTTACAGTTTTTTTTTCTAATACATTCATCTTTATTTCTCTGTGCCGGCAGCAGCCGTGGCTTGAGGCATTATGTTTTCAGGTTGTCTGTCTGTCCCATTCTTGTGAAGAGAATTCCTTTGAATGTGGCACAAACATCCACTTGGACTCAAGAATGTAGTGATTAGATTTTAGTTGTCAAAGGTCACTGGGACCTTGCATTTGTCTTATTCTCGTGAACGCGACATCTTAAGCCCAGTTCAGACCAAAACGAGATGAATTGAAACAAACAGCTAATTTCGACGATCTGCTCTGGATGTAAACTTCCACTTGACTACCTCATGGAGGGATACAACTATGAGGCAGTAATTCTAGTTAATGATTTCTTTTGTTCTGAGTTGATTGTTTTTGGGCTATTTTGTTTGGTTATTTTTTGTTCCATACTTTACAGGCATCACAGAAAAAACAACCTCCCACCACACAGTGGACTCTCCAGTCCCTCTCTCTGTTGAATGGGCTCCTAATTTAGTGCCGCCTACGTCCAATCCATTTATCAGTCTAAAAAAACAACATGACCAAAGTCATTTAGCGCCACATGAGTTCTGTGTGAACACACTGCTGGCTGATCTGTTAACTGTACTCTACAGGAGGCTGATGTTTTTTAGATTTTTCCTTAATAAATGTTGTGTGTTGACAATATATTTATTCTCAAAACTACAAATCAGTTCAAGATATACCAGTATTTTGCTGCAGAAACATGAAGATATTTACCCTACAATTATGATCACAGAACTAGAGAATATTATCTTTTAACTACACGACCTTTTTGACCTCTTGGCCATCTGTCTTTGTCTTTCCCAGGATCCCACGGTGCAGAAGGTGGGCGGAGGCAGAAAGAAGACTGTGTCCTTCAGCAGCATGCCCTCTGAGAAGAAGGTAGACTATAATCATAGAATTACATGAAAGTAAAACATCTAAAACTTAAATTCCTCCTCCACTCAAAAATGTGTTTTTATTCTGTTTATGTCCCTTAAAATGTCTGACCTTGACTGTACTGACTTGTATCTGTGCAAAGTTTGTCACTAGAGAAATTTCACATTCCTCTGCTGCATACTTACCAACCTCGAGACCTTGAGAGTAGGGAGGATTCAGATACCAAAGCGGGGGGTCAGAGACTTTGTTTTCTGACTTCTGGTGACTTCTTAGGAATGAAAAACACAATAATAAGTCGTCAGCATTTTTATGTTGAATACATTTGATTTAGTTTAGTTCTTGGTTCATCCTCCTGGTGCTCTGCTGGAGCACCAGGAGGATGGAGGGAGGCCAGGCTGTAGACTTGGCCCGCTCCAGAGACCCACAGCTGGCTGTCCTCCCTGGCCCTCACATCCCCTGGGTCCTGGATGCCTAGGCGAGGCAGAACAGGAGGCTTACAGGAGGCTCACAGCTTCTGGAAGACATCTGGGTGTCCTGCCATGGCCAAGGAGGGCAACCCAGGTCCCCACCAACCCCCAAGGCACTCCTCATACCCATTTAGAGCATCACATCGGACTTATGCAGGCTAAAACAGGCAGCACAGAGATAAGGTGTCCACCAAAAGCAGCACCCAATTCATGCATGTCTCACAGCAACAGGGAGGAAACTTGTAGAGTTGCAGTGCTTGGCTTATACACGCTGTAAAATGTCAGAAACAGGTTATGATAACAAAAGGAAAAAAAGATGTCAAAGTTTGAAATAAATACAGAGAAAAATGGGAGAATTGTGACATCGGGAGAGGGCGATCAAAAACGGGAGTCTCCCTGGAACAACGTGAAGGTTGGCAATTATGCTCTACTGAGGAGGCAATGTTTGTGACCCTTCCTTAAATCTGAGATTCAAATGTATTCTGGGTAAGATGGGTGAGGTACACCACTAATATGAAAGACAATCACTGTCTAATATGGACACAACACCGGAAAAGATACCTGGAACCTCCGTGCAGAGAGCAGAGTTAGCATTAGCACTGTGAAAGTTTTGATGGCAAACAAGGTAGAGTGTGCAGTTTTCGAATTTTAACCAAACCCTTGAGCTTTCTTTAACTATTTACCAAAAACCCTTTGCAGCAGATATTATTGTGTTTCACAATTGTTAACGCTGTGAGCCACTGCCAGTTATCATACAAACCAACAAGCTAAGAAACAACATAAACAAATAAAAGATGCTAACTACAGTTATCATTCTCATCTGTGTACCAGTCGCCCATTTGGTGCACAACAGACTCCAATCTGAGGCTGATTGAGGCTCAGACATGTATGACTGAACCTCCCCAGTGTTTTCTCTAACGCTAACGTTCAGCCATCTTGATGCGCACTGCTCTTTTACCGGTCAACCTAGTGCAAGCAGCGCTGGAGATAGCGGAAAGCAAAGCCTCCTAGCAGCAGTGGTGTTGTGCAGGCTGGAGGTCAGAATCAGAATTTCTCAATGAGGGAGAAAGTGCCGCCTTCAGCCTCTTTGCAGAGGTTTTCAACTATTATATGGTAAAACCACTAAACATATTTTTATACATGTCTGGAGGGGGACTGGAGGTCATAAAGCGCTTGATGATTTTCCATCCCAGGTGAGCAGTGCTGCAGACTGCTTGGCGTTCATGCAGGGCGGGTGTGAACTGAAGAAGATTCGGCCCAATTCCAGAGTTTACTGTCGTTTCTACACTCTGGACACCGACCTCAGCTGCTTACGCTGGGAGCCGTCTAAGAAGGACGGGGACCGGGCTCGACTGGACGTCTCCAGCATCCGAGAGGTTCGCACGGGGAAGAGCACCGAGACGTTCCTCCATAACGGTCCTCTCTCTGAGCACCTGGCTGAGGAAGCAGCCTTCTCCATCATTCATGGGGACGACTACCAGGTACTGTATTAATGTTTCATCCTCAATGATCTACAGTGATTCTTACAGTCCTACAGTTTGTGTTCTCGTCCAGCCAGTAATCTTTACTATCTGTCCCTCCCTGCAGTCTCTGGACTTGGTTGCATTGTCGGCAGATGTGGCCAACATCTGGGTGACAGGCCTTCGCTACCTGCTGGCCCACCCCTCAGTCATTGGGGGTGGAGGTGGTGGTGGAGGAGGAGGTCTGAGTGAAGGAGGGGGTGTGGCGGTCGACGGCAGCCTGGGGGGCAAGATGAGGAGTGAGTGGCTGGCGGCGGAGTTCGCCCAGGTGGATGAAGACGGCTACGGCATCGTGTCAGAGGACGTGGCCGTTGCCACCATCTGTAAACTGTGTCCAGGTATCAAGGAAGCAAAGGTGAGGAGGGGGGCACAGCTGGGTCTTCTCTATATGCTGCGTATAAACCTGAACAATGCACGTTGGGGCAAAGTGACAAAGCAATTCACTATAAAAGGACATAAAAACTGTTTAAAAACAATAGATACGATAAGAATAACTACACAGAAGGCATCATAGGTCCATATTAGCAAAACCGTGACTTGTAATCCTGTAATCTTGAAATCATTAAATCATGAAATCGTAAAATCTTGGCGATCAGTCCACAAAGAACTAGAACTTATTTTCAAATTGATGTTCAGACACACACTCATTAATTGTAAAGACTTCTCTACAGTCAACAGGTGATCACCAAACTGGATAGAGGAAGTAAACAGGACAAATGCAAATGAGCTGCTGCTGATGCACTATAATCCCAGTGTTCATGTTGCACTTGGTATCATATTCTTTTACTCAGATTCTTGATGTTTTTTGTTTTTTTTTTAAGATATTTTTGGGGGCATTTTTTAGCCTTTATTTGACAGGACAGACAAGTGTGAAAGGGGGGAGAGAGAGGGAGTGACATGCAGCAAAGGGCCACAGGCTGGAGTCGAACCCGGGCCGCTGCGGCAACAGCCTTGTACATGGGGCGCCTGCTCTACCTCTAAGCCACTGACGCCCCTGATTCTTGATGTTTTAAACGATTTTTTTTGACATAGCTTCCTTTATGGCATGTGCAACTCCACTTCTATTCGTTAAACAGCACATAATCTGGGCACAAATTAAGCCATAAGGGGCAAACAGGTTGTATTTAGTACCGTAATTAATCATAGATGTGTTTTGTGTGTAACATGAATTCAAACTGACCAGAAAGTCATGTCCCATTCCCTTTAAAATTGCTATTTACATGACAATTTGGAAAATAGGAAAAGGGAGCAGTTTTCTACTGAGAGTAATGCAGGAAATATTGTGAGACATTAAAGCAGCAAAACTAAAAACTGTAGTTATGAACTTGACAGAGGAAACAGAAGTAAACTTGCAGCTTTTGAAACAATCAATGAAGTTACGCTGCTCCTCGTATGTAAATGTGCACAGGCTATCTCTCTTAATGTGGACTCTGTCTGCAGCTCTGCTCTGATCTCTGCTATGTTGACATACTAGAATATGTTTTTAATATTTTTCACCTTATTGACCAGGGTTCCTACGGTCATGGAAAACCTGGAAAAGTTAGTTAATATTTTCTTGTATGTAATGACATTGTTACAGTAGTCTTTTGCGGATGACCTTCCACTTAAGATTACCATAACATCAAATTTATTCTCGGAAACTGTCAACGTAACATCACTCTAGTGTGTGTTGATTTGTGATGTTTCACTTGCCATAAATTGTGTTTCTCTATTTTTCCTGCTGCGTTCCGTCTGTCTCTCCTCATGTCTGCCAGCTATCTGAAAATATGTTTTACTGGAGTTGAATCTGATTTATTTGACAAACGCAAAGTCAAGCAAATAAAACCAACCATATAAAGTTGTTATTGAGGGTCCTTGAAAAGTCATAGAAAAGATTTGTCCATGAAAATGTGTGGGAACTCTGATGATGTTTTATGTCACACTCCTGCAACCCATTCATGCGTCTCTGTGTGTGTAACAAGCAGAGTGTATGCATGTTGTGAACCTGCCTATGTCGGTGCATCTTTCTATCTCAGTAATGCGCCCTTTAAATAGCAGGAAAAAACTGCACCACTCTGACTGTAGACCAGGTTTCTGTTTGTCAACGATGCAATCACTTTCTGCCGCCTCAAAATAGGAACACGCCCACAGTGCACCTGGTCACACCTCATTTTAAGACCTACACACTCATGGCAACACACCAGGGTGCATGCACTTTTGCTACTAGCTCTAGCTATGAAAATGACAACTGCGTCAATCTGAAATTAGTGATTACAGTGTGATTCCCAGCTGTCGTGCATCAACAAAGCTGAGATGTTCACCATGCTCTGGTAGAACACAAAGAAACACACCTTCATGTGCTGTTATAACATGTTTATAATCACAACTGTGTGTCAGACCCTCAGCTGCAGCCACAGCAGGAGTGGTGTGCAGTTTGTTCATGTGCTTTGGAGCAGCAGAACATTTAATCTTAAGTCAAGAGATTTGCTACTTTTCTGCTTTTGTCGGTCTCTGAAGTGCAGCTACCCTCAGGTTGGTTACTTCTCTCATGTTCCTCCTCCTGCAGGAGAGACAGCGTTACCGTGGAAACATAAAGAGAGGATAGATGTCTGTATTGGCTCAGACAGGTGACATGACTGCCGACTACCTGCAAGAACTCAGACACATTTTTCTGGGATGATATCAGACAGGGGAAAGATTATTGTGAGCACGGGCTGAGCTGAGAGGGAGATTAAACGATAGAGAGAAGAGGAGGAAGCTGATGAAAGGAAGAGATGGAGAGATGACAGAGAAGAAATGATTAATAAATTTAATATCCTTATGGAAGCAAGATAACTAAAGTTTAATCAAGCTTCAGTGAATGAACGAGGCTTTATGTTGCCTGATAACTCACTTCATCCCTCGCTCCCTGAGTCGCCTCTCTCTTCTCTCTCCACAGGTACGACTGCGTTTTAAGGAGATCCAGCGCAGCAAAGAGAAGCTGACCTCCCACGTGACTCGTGAGGAGTTCCAGGAGGCCTTCTGTGAGCTCTGCACCCGGCCTGACGTTTACTTCTTATTGGTGCAACTGTCAAAGGACCGCGAGTGTCTCGACCCTCAGGACCTCCGCCTCTTCCTGGAGACGGAGCAGGGTTTGTCTCTGGCGACGACTGAGGGCTGCTGGGAGCTGCTGAGGCGCTGCGAGCCGTCCGCCCAGGGCAGGGAGAGGGGGCTGCTGGGTATGGATGGATTTGCCCGCTACCTGCAGTCTCCAGAGTGCCAGCTGCTCGACCCTGAGCACCTGGGAGTTTGTCAGGACATGAACATGCCTCTGTCCCACTACTACATCAGGTGTGTGTGATATTTAATCTGTTGACTGGTCAGAGCACATAAGGACAGTTTTTAGCTGTAAAAGCCAAGTCATACTTTCCACATCTGCATGTTCATGCAGAAACGTGTCTTTACGCAGACACTCAAAAGAAAAAGCATCCACTGATTTACAGACATCTCTTTCCCAAAATAAATTTATGGGAAAAAAAGCCTATTTGGACCCAATGGCATCAAGTGACAGATCTAGGAGTTGTAATTTCACGAAAATGAAATGTCCTTCCCAGGGGCAAATTGCTGTTGTGACGGTCGACTTTCTCGCACATGCCTAGTGACTGGAATCGTAATGCGCATGTGCGAGAAGTCTCCGTTTTCAGAGGAAGTACATATTGCAAGTTTACATGACAAGGGAGACGCTGCTGTTTCAAAATAAATTGCACTCTGGAGCCCGTTTTCAATACGTTGCGTTTTCAGGCACCCAAAATGCCGCTGTCGAGTAAACGATCGGCCAAAACGCAACTAAAGTTTACCGTTTTCAGTTGAAATCGTTGTCGTATAAACAGGACCTCAGGTTTACAACACAAAACATTAAGATTTTACCACCTCTTAATATATAACACTTTGTAATAAGGTGCTAAAGCTCACTGAGGGCGCTTTCACACCTGCCCTGTTTGGTTTGGTTCCATCAAACTCAAGTTTGTTTGCCCCCTCAGTGCGGTTCGTTTGGGCAGGTGTGAACACAGCAATCACACTCAGATGTGCACCTTCTTGAAGAGGTGGTCTCAGTCCGGTTCCAAAGGAACTCTGGTGCAATTGGTTTGTGTTGAGAAGGTGTTCCAACCTGGATGTGAAGCAACTGCAGTCACATGACACATTGTTTGGGTTAAACATGAGCATGTTACAGTCCTGGAGGATTATTAATGTGCACCTCCTCCTGTACTGCCTTAATATGCACATTCAGCACATCCAATGCATCAAAACATTGTTTTCTAGTTGGAGCCGCGCCTCGTTTTCAAACTGTATGGTTTGACTAAAATGAACAATGACAGCAATATAGTCCACGATGAGCAGCGCTAAAATCAACCTGCGTAGTTGTCCCTCCATTGTGACATTAGAAAGTGTCACATTTATCTTGCAAGTGTACTCTTCTTCAACGTTTGCTTTACTTCCTGGATTTTTCCCACATGGAAATTCTGACCAATCAAGAGCAGCTTTCTCACACAAGGCATTTGATCTGGTCCTCTTGTAAATGCTGCCGTGAGAACACGAACCAACTCTAGGCAATTATACAACTTTGGAACAACATGAGTTCCTGATTCAGACCAAAGGAGACCACTCTAGGGCTGACAGCAGCCTCAGTCACTGGAGCATCAGACTAAAAGGAAAGACCTCCTGTATGTCATGTCATTTCACATTTTTTCCTAAAAAAAGAACTGGTAAGTCGCCGGTCACTGGATGTTGGGCGATCAAAAGCATTATTAACCAACACTGACACCCTAGTTCGGGCGTAAGATATAGACTGGTTAGGGTAACAATATCAGGGTAGCCAGTCAGAGTAGGGCGGGTCATGCTTTTGCCACCCTGCGAAAAAACAGCCACCTCCTCTCATTAGGTGGCCACACATGTTTTCTCTTTGTGCATTTTTCTTGTTGTTCAGCCAAAAGCAAGAAACACTAGAGATCTTCCTGCTGCCACGAGGTCGCCATTTTCTTTCTTTATGCGTATGCTTCTTCTTCTTCTTGACTTTTATTGTGGTTGGCAAACAGAGTTATGGTGCATTACTGCCACCAACCAGATCTGGTTATAGATCAGGAAATGCATGTGCATGAAACACCAGATGGACACAGACCCTCAGTTGTCATTTGAATGGAACCCTGTGCGCATCCGTCACAGCTGTCCGCTGAATGCAGGAAATATGTCGGAGCCTTCAGAAATCTCTACACATAGCAGAGTATCTCTGAATTAATTCACTCAGCGGTTTATTTTTCAATAAGAGTGGCTCTCCCCTTGTCTGCCAGATGGTTGTGCTTACTCACTGTGCTCTGCATGCCACCAAAACAAACATTTGAGAAAAATATGCAAATTAAATTAAATTCGACATATTGTGCCAGAACCACATTATATATCAGGTCATTTTATTTATTTATTTTGAGACTGTAAACCATGACACTGCCTGGCAATGTGTTTAAATCAACATAAGATTCAGAGGACAGTGTTGAAATTTCTATTTGGGCTTTAAATGTGCAAATGTAAATGTTTAATTTTGTCATTAGACTTTTTATTTGGTGAACCAGAACATATTCTCTATGACACCTCATGAGATATTGTCAGCTGGTTTGACTGTCATCAGTGATTATAAGCATCATAGATATGGGTTCGAAGGGGTCTGCCACACCTGCTATTATGATGTGTTCACACGACAAGTTATACAGCAACAGGCTACAGTCATTTTAAGTGGAAGCCGAAGACATGAAGCTATGAACTGATGTCTGACACTTGTCACTGTGGATGGTTTAGATGTGCCACAAATCAAAGTTGAAGAAGCGCTGAAACGTCAATCATGTTTTTTGTCTCAGGTTATGGTATTGTGTTGTTTAGCTTAGTTAGCTGACACTGTGACAACTTTCTGTGTATTGTGGAGCACACAGGGATACAAAATGTGATGTTAAAATGGGGCTCAGACATTGATCAAAAGCAGAGATATTTATTGACCAGTTACAAACTTTAGATGGTGTTTAATCGAGGTGCTGTGTGGTAGGGCTGTACCCAACTCAGTATTATGTCAGTCGAATCAGATTTGGCTGTTTCATGCAAATATTTAACAATTCTTTTTTTTTCCCATATGAAGGTTTAAAGTTTGAATGGAGCTCAGTGGGACATTTAGAGTGACATCAGCATTCATGTAGTATAGTGAACAAGCTAATGGCACTTATGACAGATTGGAAATGTGCGGTAACATTTTTTGCCGATACCAGATATCAAACAAAAGTCAGAGACTGTGTCGTATTAAGTATCTGTGAGCTGATAAATCACCACTTCCAAGCAGAAGAGAGACGATAATGTTCTCTCAGAGCCTTACCGTGGAAAGATGCCGCTGTATCTCATCTGTAGCTCCCTGTATCAAAAAAAGCAGCGTGAAAGTCAAGAGCGCTTACTCCGCACCAAAATCTGGGGACCAAAAGTTCCCCTGAAGTACTTTGCACAGCTCACTGACCAGCAAAAAAAAATAAAGACTGCTTGACCTGAGCAATACTTCGATAGCAACTCAATGTAGCCGATCACGCTTTTGTGCTGTTGCTGTTGGTGTGAACACAGCATTTAGTTCAGAAGGCCATTATCGGGCCATAAAATGGATGTTTATGTTAACTGTTAGGCGGCAACTTCTCGTGGCCGTAGTAATTATGACAGAAGAGACGGAGGAAGTCAGGTGACGTAGTATAAATAGCGAGAAAGTCTGTGTCAGGATGAAGGGATGGTGGAAACAAACAGGATTTTCAGCCAGGAGAGCAGGGTTCTTGTCCTTTGTGAAAGCAAACATCAGCAGTGACTTATTTTAACAAGAGATGGTTGTTTTAGCTGACGATCCATGATATTTTTTCATAAACTTGACGAAGTGCAAGTGAAACCTAACCAAACTGTGACCATTTCACAGCTTTAGACATGCAAATGGACACCTAATGGGCTAATAACAGCCTTCAGACCTTATTGTAGATGTGGCAGGCTCCTTCTAATCCATACCTTTGTGGCTAAAAATCACAGATAACTGTCATTTAATGGGCTGATAACATCGGAATCTGGTGATAATTTCAGCTGTCATTAAATGTTATTGATACTATAAAACATCTTTTAGAAGCAGGACACTATTTTGTATCACTGTCTGAGTGTTGTTGATTTTGTCCCTCAGCACTTCGTACCGCTCCTACCTGCTGGATGATCAGGTCCACGGCAGAGCAGACCTGGGAGGGCTGATCAAGGCCCTGCAGTCCGGCTGTCGCTGCGTGGAGCTGGGAGTGACTGACGGCCCAGAGGGGGAGCCTCTCCTCGGGGTCGACTATGGGCCAGAGATCCCTCGCCACCATCATCACCACCACCACCATCACCACCACCATGCGCCTGTCACCATCCGCTCAGCTCTGGAGGTGGTCAATAAGTACGCCTTCCTGACCTCTCAGTACCCTCTCTTGGTGTACTTGTGCCAGCGTTGCTCTCCTGGCCAGCAGCGCACCATGGCTCAGCACCTAAAGAAAGTGTTTGGCGCCCGTCTTTACACTCCAGAGGCGCTCCATGTCAGCCTGGGGGGGCGAGCCACAACCTTACCCTCCCCCGAGCAGCTGAAGGGACGCATCCTGATAGTGGGGAAGAAGCTCCCTGCAGAGCAGGACGGCTCTGAGGGGGAGGTATCTGAGGAGGATGAGGAGATAGGAGGAGGGGGGCCTCTGGCAGGACGCCGAATGACCATCCCTGGTGAGGAGGAGCTGGGTGTGGTCTTGGTGGTGCCTCCACCCTCTCAACCCAGGAAGCTACGCCTCCACAGAGAGCTGTCAGACCTGGTGGCGATCGCTCGCACGGGCAGCCGCAGCTTCTATGCGCAGAGATCCAGTCACAAACAGGCTCAGCAGCAGTCACCACCCAGCAGCCCCTCCTCTCCCAGCACGCCAATCCCTCCTGAGCCGCCTTATTGGACGCTGTGCTCACTGGGTGAGGGAGAGGCCGGGCGGCTCACCACTGAGAGCCCAGAGGACCTCGTAATGTTCACCAAGCGCACCCTGACCAGGGTGCGACCCAGCTCAGTGCGTCTGGACTCCAGTAACCCCAACCCACAGGGATACTGGAAAGGAGGTGTCCAGCTCGTGGCCTTGAACCAGCAGACTCCCGGCGCCATGCTGGACCTCCACAGAGGTCGCTTCTCGCAGAACGGAGGGTGTGGTTACGTTCTGCGCCCAGCTGTAATGAGGGACGAGGTGTCGTATTTCAGTGCGCACACGCAGGGCTGTGTGCCAGGAGTGCCGGCTCAAACTCTGCGGATTAAGGTGAAGATATTATATTGATATGCATGTTGTGTTTTGTAGCATTCAGTCTTAATTTAGGTCAGTTATTTTCAAACTTTTTTTTTTAATAACGTACCTGCTTTGAAATCTTTTTTCAGCCCCCAGACCAGTGCAAAAATGTTTTGGCTGAATGAAAACACTACTGCAGTTGTCTTGAACAGGAAACTTAGCTATAGAGACCTAATTCTTTAAACATGTTGTAAACATGTTTATTTCTGCTGTAAAGTTGAACATTTTAACATGAAGGTCTATGGGCATTGACTCAAGACAGCCTCAAGTGGCCATCCGATGAACTGCAGTTTTTGGCACTTCCTGGAGGTTGCTCCTTCGTAATGACGGAGTTTATGAGCTGAAGTGCAAGAGAGCATTTCGGTCATCCTGCAAACAAGAGTGTAGTTGGGTAGCGTTGGGATATGGGCAAAATTATGGCAAATTTGAAGGAAGGCGCTTAAAACTGGATTGTTTTATTGATGGCAATTAGCTTAAGTCTTTATTGTTTTTTGTCAACTGCCAATAAATAAAACAGTTTGTGGGCAAGTAGATTTTTGACCCACTTACCTGACCGGGTAAGTTTTTGAAAAAAAAAATTGACGTGATTTACCATCCACTGCTTTGTGTTTTACTGTGCAGGTGATCAGCGCCCATAACCTGCCCAAGCCTCAGGGCTCTGGGGCGAAGGGTGAGGTCATTGACCCGTATGTGGTCCTGGAGCTGCACGGCGTACCAGCTGACTGTGCTGAACAGCGTACACGCACTGCTGCTCAGAACCAGGACGACCCGCTGTTTGATGAGACCTTTGAGTTTCAGGTAAGAGCTGTTTACTCTTTATTTTTACTTTGCAATGAATAATGCACTTTACTGATATCAGGAAACTAACACTCAGGCTTGAGGTACAAGTGCAGGTGAGTTTATCTGACTTATTTCTGCAGTTTTGGTGACCTCAAGTATTACAGCAGCCCACGGTACAATCCTGAGAAGGGCATAACACAGCTTTAATGTATCGTTATTAGGAGGAATTTATTATTGGTAGGTGGATTTGAGTGAGTCACATTAATTCCTCTCATCCTCTTTAAAAGAAGCAAACATGGCCCAGGAGGAGACTGCAGGCCGACAACGCACAGCTCCCCTGAATGTCATTATTCACTACATAACTGAAAATATGAAAACACAGCACTCCGGATCAACTTAAAGTGCAAACACTGTTTTCCTATTATGCTGGCAAGAATGAATCTCTGCAATTAATAGCCTGAGTGTTTAAAAGGTTGCATTCAGTTAGTTATATTTGGGTTGTTAACATGCACACAATTATGCCCGTGCACCAAATACTGCAAAAAGAAATAGCCCTTTAAGCCATTTACATAACTGCATGACAGCTTCTCATAATAATCCTGTTTACAGAAGCAAAAATATTATTTTAATTTCCCATAGAAAATTGTTTATTTGGTGTTTTTCCTCAGGAAAAATAATGTCCCGAGGTCTCAGGATGCATTCAAAGGTCCCAGTTCAGTGATGATGTCACTGTAAAAGAAAAGAAAAGAAAAGAAAAGCTGTTTGTGGCCCTCTGCTGCATTTTGATGAGGTTATAGTTAAGAATCTCATCTTACCCTGCACAGACTTTGCTTTTATTGCATAAAGTTGTATTTTAATGTGCATTTTAAAGTGTACTAGATTAAAGATTTATCGGAAAGCGAAAGAGGAAAATGTCAACAACATAAAAGAGGCTTATGTGATTTTTGGAGAGGTCTGCTCTTCTGTCGGCTCTGCACCTGCATGAAAACAGCACCCAGAGCACTTAATTGAAGACCATCATGATTTAAATTAGCTGCTCCCATGAATGCACTTATGCCTGTGGTGAATTTATTACAGGAGACGTGATCTGATGTGTTGCTGATTTGGCTTTTTCTCCCGCTCCTTGACAGAGTCCTGTATCAGTGTGGCTGAGCCATAATGACAAGCTGTCACAACTGATACGGCCTGTTCTCTGCGCCAACATGGTGTGTGTGTTGACATAATGCACCTTCATAAAGGCTGCAAACGAGTTGTGTAATACCTGTAATTCAAAACAATATCTGACGGTAATTACATTGGCTCTTTAGCAGGAGACAAAAAGTGAAATCTGAATGCATGTATGACATCAAACCGGTTTGTGGTGACATCACTGTTATGATGATGCGTTACCTTCTTACATTCTTGTGTATTATTTGTGACAAGAGGAGATAAAAGGGTTTCAGATGGGTGAGAAAGACGGAGGAGGATTTCAAGCTGGTTAGAGACTGTATGGATTAAAGGGACAGTTCACCCCAAAATCAAAAATCCATATTCCTCCCCTTACTTGTGGTGCTATTTATCAATATACTGTAGACTGACTTGGTGTGAGTGTTGCAGAGTGTTGGAGTGTTGGAGACGGACAGATGTGCAATAGATGCGGGGTGCACAGAAAAGACCAACATAACGGATGTCTCCATTTTTGTCAAACAGGGTGCCATGTATTGAAGTTTGTGATGCAGTGTCTATTAACATGAAGTATACAAGTGGTGTTCCACAAGGGTCTGTGTTGGGTCCGCTGTTATTTAACTTTTACATTAACGATCCTCTAAAACAGTGTCATTATATAGAAATACAAATGTTTGCAGATGACACAGTTGTGTATATACATGCAAAAACAGCTGAGTTAACAGCAACCAAGCTAACAACTGCATTAGAAAATATTACATAATGGCTTGATCAGTCCTATCTGAGTTCAAACGTTACTGAAACATATGGTATGGTTTTTTTCCCCTAAAACAATGGTACAGCCTCTTAATGTGGACGTTTGTATTGATGGTGAAATGACTGACAGTCACTGATGTCAAATAACTTGGCAGAGTTAAGCACTATTCCGACAGGATTAGTTTTACATGGGCACGTGGGGTAATGTCACTTTACCACAGGACGTCGGTAATATTAATGGCCAATTCGCACGGGATAAGAAATATCAGTAAAACTACCACAAGTGGGAGGGGTAAATCCATTCACGCACCGCCGTCCCCTCCTGTTGTCACGTGCGTAATGTGTTGCTTCCTGTGCATACCACACTCGAACACACTTGAATCGTGTTCGTCGTAGGCCCACAGTACCTGAGGTTTCACACGGACTTGTCCGACTGTGAAGTGCAAAACTGAGTGCTTTTTCAAGAGCCTCCATGCTTGAAAATCTGCGAAAAAACACTTGTAAACAGGATATGGCGAAATATCTACACACATATTTACTGCTGGTCTATTCGCACGGGATTAGTATTACCTGAGGTAATTTTCCGGGACCCTTTTACAGAAGGTAAAAGTCGCGGTAATCTTTACTGACATCGTGCGGTAATGATTACTGGCATGGCACATTCGGACGGGACTAAAATCTCTGGTAATTATTACTTTACCCCATGTACCTATGTAAAACTAATCCCGTCCGAATAGGGCTAAAGTCTCTCAAGAAAACCAAACTGTGCCAATATGGCGACATTTTAGATTTGAAGCTGACAAAAGAGTTGTCTGGGGCTGGGACTGTTGGGGAGTGACACGGGGTGCCGTTTTGAGCGGAACTTTTGTCAGATGCCCTGTTTCAATTTATTCCTGTCACTTGCTTTGAAAGTGCTGCCATGGACAAGTAACGGCCGATTCATGAAGTTGAAATGAAAAATTATCTACAAGACACCTCCTTATTTTACTAAAAAAAAAAACAAAATAAGGTGTCAGCTGGCTGGACGGAGATCACCAGGGACCTGAGAGTTTCTGGTCAGTGTTCATCGCTAATAACAACTTGCTGTTCATTATATCGTACGTCATTTCCAGAAAATATCACATTAAATAAATAAATGTGTGATTTTTGTTTTAACCTTACGGTTCCAATTGTAGGAAGACAGCAAGTCGGCTACTCCCCAGTCTTTTTCATGGTTATGTCTCCAGTCTGATCTCTAATTTGTCATGACTTAACAGAATTGTATATTTAGTAGATTTAGTGTGTACAAAGAGCTCTAATATTACATGATGCAATGTGATAGTTGGACACCCGTTAAGACGCAGTATTACTGTATTCATTTCTGGAGCGGCTGCTGAGTCAAGCACCACACCTGGTGAAATTCAGTATACTGATCCGGTAGCTAGCACCTCTGAGCAAGCTAAGGTTGCAGCTCAACCAAGGAGAACACGATTATTATTTACATCTGGCACGGTCACAAGCAAGAACCTCCTGTCCATGAGTAGAAGCACGCTTCCTTCAGCATGTTGATATGATTGGCAGGTTGGCATTTCCAGCACTCGGTGACTCACACTAAAACAATCTGGATTAGTAGATATCACCACAGGTAAAAGGTAACCATGTGTTTTTGATTTGGTGGTGACCCGACCCTTTGAGCCTGATTTCAGCCCTGCATTGGTCGACTAATTTAACAATCAGGCTGAGTTTCTGTCAGATCGGTTGTTTTGTTGTTTTCCATGCAGTTTGGGTCATGATGCCTGATTAAGTGCCATCAGCTGGATTTCTGGCATGTCAGAAATTTCTGTCAGCTGTCTCGCAGTCTGAGCAGTTCCACGGTCCAATTTCCCACATGGCTGCTGTCAGAAAATCTGTTATAAACTGTAGTGAGCTTGTTTTAATATTACTGGAGTAGTATTTTACATGTCTGAGACTGCTGTGACATGAAACTGAACTTCACTGCAGAACAGACACCATATTGTCTTTATCTTCCAGCCATCTGCAACTCCGTATTTTCTTTTTTCATCTTACTTTCTGTTGACAGTGGAACTGCACAAATGCTGCCTTTCTTCCTTTCTGTCATTTTTATTGAGATCCTGGTTTCCTTTTTAAATAAAATTTAATTGGAATTGTCACAGGACAAAACAAACGGGTGAATCTATGAACATAGGTTCAGTGTGAGCGTAACAGTCGCAGGTTCTGGCTCTGAAGAAAAGCAGATTAGTGTGATTTAGTACAATGTACAAGATGAATAAAAACACACAGTGTCACACAGCTTCAGTGAGGAGCAAGTCTTTGGCTCTGCCTGACGTCTCACTGGCCTTGTGGATTGTAACCAAAAGCCGAGTGGGGGAACTGGAGGGCAGTGTCGAGTCACAGTCGAGGTCATGCTGTTCAGTGTAAGTGTGTGTATCAGCCCGTTGAAGCATGTTCTCATGTGTCTTAATCATTTGTCCTCCAGGCTCTGACACAGCGGCCAAGCTCAGACACTGGGCAGCCACGTCAGAACACACTTCGTGAACACACACACAAACACTCACAGTGCAGACTAACTGGAATTATCTTCCTAAGCCTCAGTGAAAACCAAACTCTGACAAAGCTGTCTGCACTCATAAAACACATAGTAAGTGTGTGCAATACAGGCCTGATGGTTTATTGAAAATGTGATGATGATGTTTATCAAGGAACCAAAAGTTGGATCATAACGAATGAAGGACAAGTCCACAAGCTTTACACGTTTCAGGTGTGGGGAAGTCATACTGCATATGTCAAAAGAAGTTGTATGAAGTGAAGTCATTTGTGGCTCCAGAGGAAGCTGTCTGAAGTCTGAGCATCGGTTGAACACTACAAGTTTGAAAAGTAAAAGAAATCTTGAGGTGTGGCGTTACAAAGACGTGAGCTAACCTGCTCGTCATTTTTACCGCAGGCTTCAGGATGCGTCTGTCATTTCTCCTCCCACTTTAGATAAAAACTGTGCCCACTTCCACATGATGATAGCCGGCTGCCAGACATCAAGGCCCGATGATCGGCTGCCAGCCTTCTGCTATCCAGCACCATTAAAAAGGGATGGGCTAGCTAGCAGC